ATCGAAGCGATCATCCACCTTGACAAACTTTCCCAAGAAATTCCCAATCTGTTCTAATATCACAGCAGACGCATACCCCTTTGGCAACCCATGTAGTTGTATCTATAGATCCACCGAATAAAGCTCAACATCACACGGCGACATTCCATCCGGAACCTGCTTGCATACTAAAGTGCTATTATCAAAAGACCATGGGCCATCATTCAGAACACGCTGCATATCCGTCACATGATGAAAGATAAATAAGAATCGGCCAGGCTCTACCTCCGTAGCTTCAACACCACGGTTGCCATACAGATGCCATAACCTGGCTCATAAATTCCAGTTTAACTAGTTTCCGTGTTAGGAACCGTCCAACCACCGCCCATTCCTCCTCCACGCGCGGTATCGGTACCACCACTGCCGTCGCCTACGTCCACCGTCGGCATAAAAGTCGCCGCCTCCTCCTCCAAAACTAGGTCAGCCCATCTCGCTGTCAAACCTGCTACGCCGCTTCCATTCTGGTTCGCTGCCATCTTCGCACGATCTTGCGTCGGAAAAGTGAATTGATTAACCGAAGAGTTGCTCCGTACGTAAAGGTCGAGAAATCGACGTGAAACCCTAGAGATGACTAGGTAGGAATTCTCACAAGGATAAGTATGAAGTTATTGCGGGAGACTTATTAGGGGTTGAACATTTTTAGTCCACTATAAAAAATTTTGCCACATTTTGGCCACTCTTATTGTGAGAGTGCCACTTTTGGTCCTCCGTCTAAATTTCCGTTAGCTTACTGTCAAAAATAAAGGGCATTCTTGTCATTTCTTGTATTTTTCTTCTCAACTTTATGTCCTTTTTTTTCCTGTAAGAAGAGTTTCCTTCCAGATACATGTGAGAATGCCACTACCTTTTCCTGCGGTCGCAACGCCCCTTCTTCCTCTCTTTCCACCACCCCACTCGTCGCCTTCTTCTCCAATTCTAATTATCCGCCGCCGGCTCCGATCATGTTTCTTGCAGCCGTCGGTGGCAGACACCCCTTCATTCCCACCATGAAGCCCCCCTAAATCTGAAACAGGGATGTCAGGTAAAAAGTCGATATGCTTAATTAAGCTAAGCTGCATTCTTTTCATTCAACTAAACTGACTTTTTGCGTTAATCAGACATGAACGGAGACTGTAGCAACACCGATAATAGGATAGAGGGAGGGAGGAAGTATGTTTTTATTGTCTGGTTTAAGACTTGAGAGCTTGGCACAACTCAGCATGTAACTATTTTATGTTTTATTCTGCTGCTTGCAGAAGTTGAATTGATGAAAAATCGGTTTGCAAAGCTGTTGTTAGGGGAAGATATGTCTGGTGGAGGAAAAGGAGTGTGCACTGCTCTTGCTACTATTTCTAATGCAATTACAAATCTTGCTGGTACATTTGATTTACTTAATTAGCAGTTGGTTTCAATTCTGCATCTCATGTTTGAGTTTAGGATGAAATGCGTTGTATTATTGTTAAATAAGCTACGATTCTGGATGCAATTCTTATAAACATCTTGGATGGCTTTCACAACTCTGAATTTCATTATGTTGACCGAGGAATAGTTGTTGCAGGTGGAGAACAGATTGAAACACGCCCTCGTTCTCTGTCCTCTCATAGGCCTTCGATTAGGCTTGAAGAGAAATGGTGGTTACCATTTCCAAAGGTCCCTCCAAATGGTTTGTCTGAAGAATCAAGGAACCAATTGCTTCAATGTAGGGAGTGCACCATTACATTGTCGAAGTTTTCGGCGTCTGCTTTCGCTGGAAACATTGATCTCTGCGGCGGCCCATTGCCGCCGTGCAACCAAAATTCCTCTTCTCCTCCCCCTTCCGTTGAGCCCGAAACAGTTCTCCCCACAAGAAATCCAAAAAATTCTTCATCATCGTGGTTAATTACATGTATCTATGAAGGAAACTCAATGTGGAGAAAGAGAAGACAAAGTTGAGAAGAAAAATACATGAAATGACAAGAATGTCCTTCATTTTGACAGTAAACTTACAGAAAATTAGACGGAGGATCAAAATTGGCACTCACACAATAAGAGTGGCCAAAATGTGGCAAAATTTTTTATAGTGGACTAAAAGTGTCCAACCCCTAATAAGTCTAGGACCAAAAAAGGAATTAACTCTTTTTTTCAATTTAGCTTTACATATTGACGTTTTTCTTTCTTAATTTGGTATTATTATTTCTGACATTAAAGAAGCTCCAATGCAATTTAGCGATGTGCTTCAATTTTACTAGAAGGTTTGCGAATTGGGCTATCCATGCATTTGCTAAGAAGGCTGTTTCTTTGTCTAATCCGAGGAAGTGGTATGTCGCCCCTCCTTTCGTTCTTGATGTTCTTGCTTGGATTCAATGAATTAAGTTAACTATGTTTTATATTATTAAACATAAATTATATCATTTGAAAGATTTTATATATTAAGACGATTAAAACAAGACTAATATTGAATATATATTAATTAAAAATTAAATTACATATACCATAATTTTTAAAAATTAAATTGTACTAAAATAATTTCTATTTTTTTTTATCACAGATTATATTGTATATTAAACTAATTAAATTCAAGCTAATAACTTTTTAAATTTTTAAAATCAAAATTATTTTAGTGTAGAATAACATTTGGTGTAAAATTTAGTTTAATAGGGTAGGGATGAATAAAATTCGGTGTAAGAATATTTGTTCTGATGTGAAATTTGGTGTAGGTTTTTGTGTCTTGGATTTGAGATACAAGGATAATGTGCATTTCAAATTTTGGATTATAATTACATGTATGTATGTATGGGAAATACTCCGTAACAAATTTTATGGGAACTTGTGCACAACTGCAGGGAATAACAAATTATAACAAATCATAGTTAACCACAATTAGTGTTGTTTCTAATTTTGAAATCATCATCGTGCCTCTACAGCCCCGTAGGCGCTCCATATCAAACCCAACTTCTAATTTTATTGTTGTGAAGGTTTCTTATCTCCGAAGATTTCAAACCAACTTCTAATTTTTTCTGACATGGCAATGTTTTTACAACGTGGACAGACTTAACGGGAAAAATAAAAAGTACTTTGACCCATCTTTTCTTATCATGTTTGAAGATTTACACGACTTTTAGAAATTTATTCAAATGTTTGGTTCGTTAAGAACTTGAAAAAAAATATGTGGTCAAATGACAAAATACCCTTACTCGAAACAACAAATAAAACATATATATATATATATATATATATATATATATATATATATATATATATATATGTATATATATATATATATATATATATATATATATATATATAGAGTTGCACTCGGGTGCGAACGGCTCGCCCAGGCGCGAAATAGGAATGGATTCTGTTCGTCCACGTGTCCAGATCTAATGGATGAGAAACACTGATTTTTTTAAAAAACGCGGTGGCATTTTCGTAAATAATTGAACATCGAAGTGCAAGTAAAATGTATTACAAGTGCATGTAAAATGTATTATAGGTGCAAGTAAAAGTTTACACTGAGCATCAATACTTAGTTGCACTTATAGTTCTAAGTAGTTGCACCTATAGTTCTAAGCAGTTGCACACATAGGTATAAGTAGTTGCATCTAGGTGTATGAATGTTTGCGAGTGGTTTTTAGGAGTATTACTACCCGCTGAATTCAGATCAATGAATGTTAACAAGACAATTACATGCACTTATAGGTGAAAGTAGGTGCACATATAGTTATAAGTAGTTGCACCTATAGTTATAAATAGTTGCACATATAGTTATAAGCACACCCAGGTGCATGAATGGTTGCGGAAAGTGAATGCTAACAAGGCAAAATTACATGCACTTATAGGTGAAAATAGGTGCACTTATAAGAGATTTTACTTGCACTTCGATGTTCAATTATTTACGAAAATGCCACCGCGTTTTTTTTTAAGTTATTAGATCTGGACACGTGTCACGCGCTGATTTGTTCGCATTTCCTTCCTGGGCACTTATTCGCACCTGAGTGCGTCCCTATATATATATATATATATATATATATATATATATATATATATATATATATATATGAGCTCAATATATACTATAACAGAGTAGTCACCCTGGACATAGCCTTCAAAATTTGTCTTCAAACAATTTCTCCTTCATCACTCTGATCCCTTCATCCTCATCACATTCTTCCTCTGAGATGTTTACTCTTTTAGGCTGGAAATAGTAAATTAAGTAAAAAAATTGGTGAACAAACATCAAGTAGATAGGCAAGGAAATATATAGAGAAAAATGAGATGATTGTGAGAGAAAACGGATGACTATTCCTTGCAAATATACAAGTTGAATGAAATATGAAATGTTCAAAGATATATTAGATGGATAGAAAGAGACCTAATATTTTCGGAACGAACAAGGATGGTGTTTCCATAGTTGTTGAGTTGCTCATCTTGAATCCACTTTGCGGAAGTCAAAAGTGAATACTGACAGTAGCTTAACTGAATCGATGCTAGTGTGGTGATATCCACAAAACCACTAGGAATCTCTTGTAAATACTTACATTTACGTAACTCCAAACATTCGAGTACAGGGAAATGGTCACCACTAGCATTCCAATATTTGAGATCACTACTTTCAATCACCAACCTCTTCAATTGACGGAATCCTCCCTCAGTTGGCTCCCACTTTGAGTTTTTGCAAGCATGTATCAAAATTAGAACCTCTAGATTTGGTAGCATACCAATAGGCTTCATAGCACTCCATAGGAGATATGGAGTCCAAAAGAATTTGAGCTTCTTAAGATTTGGTAGAAAACTAGTTGCCCATGGGATGCCATTACATGGAATACTTCTGAGATAATTCCAATTTCTGATGCTTAATGTCTCAAGCTGCCCCAAGTGCCCCAAATTATAAAAGCAATCTGGACTACTAGTATATCCACCTTCAATCCCTAATTTTTTTAAATTCGGAATTCTTGCGAGCAAATCTTTTGTACAAATCCCATAACTCAACCAAGATATATTCTCTAAGTTTCTATGAACAATTGACCGAGTTTCTAATGAATAAATTTGTTCAACACAAAAATTCCTTAATAGTGGCATTGTCCAAATTCTAAATGCCCCATAGGAATCCCATCTAACAGATTTTCCACGAACAATAAAGCTTTGCATATTCCTATGCTCAAAGAGCTTTACACGAAAAGAAGCATCGTCACCAATAGAGCTTGATAATACGGTCAAAGCAAAGTATCTCAAATGAACAAGATTGGTAAGCACAGTTAGAGCCACATATTGATCAGAATATAATCCACATTCAATGTCTACTAATCTTAGCAGTTTGAAGTGTGAAAATAGATGATCAAAGCTATGAAAGTAAAAACCAGCAAAGTGTAAGGAATTAGATTCGTGACAGAGACTATCCACTGACCTGATTTGAGTAATGAAACCAGTAAACAGGTGCTGTGATTTCCATGGAAGTTTTTCATATCCAAACACATTCAATAGATTTTCACGTTTAGCTTCATTCAAGCACAAATCTCGCAACAGATCATGTATCCTTATTCTCTTCATTTTCCCATTGTAGCTCTGTTTGCTAACTATAACAAGACTTCTATCAACAAGATCTTGCAAGCATTCCATGGCCACTTTCTCTATATTCACATGCTTCACAGTGCTCAAAAATCCATCTGCTGCCCACAACCTAACCAACTTCTTCACCGGGATCTCATAGTCTTCCTCGAAAGTTCCAAAATATAAAAAGCAAGCTTTTAAGTGATGAGACAATTGATTGTAACTCAGATATAGTATTCTGGAACATGCATCATTAGAACCATCAGTTACACTTTTTGCGACATTCTTCCACTTTTCCTCGTTCTGCTCTGTCTTGGAGAGAAGACTAGCTACTATAGTAATAGCTAGAGGTAATCCATTACATTTCTTCACTACGTCTCTACCAATTTGCTCAAACTTCGAAGGAAATTCAATTTTACCAAACACTTTGCAGTACAGACTCCAACTTTCACCAGCATCTAAGAAAGGCATGTTAATGATATAGTTACCTGAGCTAGCATATTTAGCCACCTCTTTGAGTCGAGAAGTCAAAAGTATACGACTTCCATTATTATCATCTGGAAAGCACCTTTGCACACTATCCCAAGCTTCTTCACTCCATATATCATCTATCACTATCAAATATCTCTGTTCCTTCAAGTATTTACGCAGACGCTCAGCTAATTGGTCAGTTCTCTGTTTATGGAGTTCAGCTCTTGATGCTCCAATAACACCACCAATTAGAGATTGGAGCATTTGTTCCTTTGAATGCTTTTGGGATACACTAACCCATGCTCGCTTGTCGAAATGAGAAGTAATTGATGGATGTTCATAAACTTTGTGCGCTAAAGTGGTCTTGCCTATTCCTCCCATGCCAACAACCGAAACAACTTGTCTCCTCTTAGTTGATTGTTGCGTGAGCTGATCCAATATCTTCTTGAACACCTCCTCGCATCCGACCATTCTACTCTCGAACTTTGAAGAGTTTTTGAAAAATTTACTCACAATATTGTTCTTGTGTACAAGATCATGCAGTGATGATCCTTCCACAAGCAGTAGTCCTCTTCGTCGGATCCGACCAAGGAGCTAAACATCATCACTGATTCTTGCATTTTGTGATGAACCCTTTGGATGCTGCTGCTGGTGGTGTTCTCTTTTAATCCTAATCAACTCATTCATGTGGTAACCAGTTTGTTTTTCTGCTTCTTTGAAGATATCATGAAGCCTGAGCAGGGAAGCTGTTATATGAAGACTATCCTTTGCTAGATAAATGGCACTCAACTCCATCTCAATCCTTTCTTCCACTTCGAACGAGACATCTCTGATCTCTGCCTCTACATCTTTGATCTCATCATTGGCAAAAATCTCAGATTTCTGAAGAATAATGTCTTGCAGCAAGCCAAGATTTTGATGGAGAGAAACCATCTTCTGTTTGGCTTCCGCTACCTCTCTGAGCCGAGAAGTCAATAGTATACTGTCCCAAGCATTTTCACTTTTAATCAACTTCTTCTTCTTGGGGTAATCACTCTGTTTTACTGCTTTATTATTGAAGATTCCATGAAGCCTGGGGAGACGCTTCGTCCAACCCTTTAAACACGCTTCCTCTGCATCTTTCATAGCCATATCCTCAAGAATTTGTTGCAGTAAGCCAAGATTTTCATTGCCATCTCTCATCTGTGCCTCTAAATCTTCAAGAGCCAAGCGTGGTTCTGATTGCAAGAAATTTAGAGATAGTGTTTCCATAAGCGAAGTTACAGCAGCGTAAGCCATTTGAGTATGTCTGTTGATCAGCAGAACTAACTAAGAAGAATTATACAAAGAAAATAAAGACGAATTCGTTGGTCAACGCCAGAGTTTAATTTAAAATAATTAGTGGTTAGTGCCTTATGCCTATTCCAGCTCCCATTCATAACATGATAACACGTCCTCTCCATATTCACTAAGATTATGATATTTTTGAAAGAAAAATGTAGCTGGTGATGCCGAGGAAGAATTCACAAGAAATGGATGATTAGAATAGAGGTTCTTATTTCCAACCAAACCAGGTTGGTGGCCTGGAGAGGAGCATACACGGAAATTCATTATTATTTTTTTTTTGAAGAGACACTAAAATTCATTTTATCTCTTAAATTTACATTTTATAATTAAATTAAGGATAATGATATTTTCCCACCTAATCATTCCCCTAATATTTTCCCACATGATGATGTGACTTAAATTTATTGGTGCCTATGAATTGAGTAACTCCACCATTAAGTTAACTAGTTTTTTAGGCACGTTGCGCGATTGGGATAATGCCCAATGTTTTTTTTAAATAAGTACTTTAAGGTATATCAAGATAAGATTATATTAAAATTGTTATGCATAGATAATTGAATGTTGAATTTGCGTATTTAAATAGACAATTCTAAGTTTGCAAATGCAAGATAATATAGTCAAGATTGTTTATAATTGTCAATAAAAAAATTCTATAGGTATGGTTGAAAATTTGAAATCAAATACGGGACATAAGGGAGAGCAAATCAAAATTAATGCATAAAATATTAAATATATACTAATATTGAAGAGCTAACTGCTGACTAAAGAAACTAAAGAGAACAATGTAAGAAGAAGACTAACAAGCGAAATGACTAAATTACCCATGGCAAATCGGAGCTATCGCCGGATTTTGGACGGGCTACGACCGGAGGGGCTAAATCAACTAAAAATAGTTATTTTCAAGGACTAAATCGATGATTACGCGATTAAGGGACTACATTGATATTTCGCTAACAATTGAGGGACCAAATCGTTGATTTTCCCTTAAAGAAATGCATATGTATTATTTTTTGTTGTAGCTACTAAATTATTATTTAATTTATGAATAAGGGTCAAATAGACCCTCCAACTATATATCAAAGTTCAATTAGACCCTCAGACTAAAAAAAACATTCAATTAGACCATTAAAGTTGTTAAATTTGTGCAATTAACTTATTTAATAGGTTACCAAAAGGTAACATGTAAATTTTGCTTACATGGCTTGTGAAATTCTATTTAAAAAAAAAAATTAAAACTAAAATTTTTAAAAATTAATATTTAAAAAAAAAAGTTTCATCTTCGTTAAGCTTCTTCGAGCTGCTATGGCAGCCAAACTGCTTGACTGTCATGGACGACTGCCAGGCAGCTTAGCTACCATGACGTACGAACTTCTGCAATGGACAAGAAACCATGGCAGCAGCTGCCATGGAGATGCCCCATGGATTCTTCGTCCATGGATAAGAAGCCATGGCAGCAGCTTCCATGGATAAGAAGCCATGGCAGCAGCTTCCATGGAGTTGCCCCATGACTTATTGTCCATGGCAGCCTAGCTGCGATGGACGACAGTTTTTTTTAAATTTAATTTAATTTAAATTTTTATAAATAAATATTATTATTTTAATTTTTATAAAATATAATATTTTAAAAATGTTAATTTAAGTGGCATCCTATGTGGCATGTGACCTAGAAGTAACATACTATTATAGGTCAAATAGGTTAATTGTAAAAATTTAACAAGTTTAATGGTCTAATTGGAGGTTGTTTTAGTTCGAGAGTATAATTGCACTTTGGTTTATAGTTAGAGGGTCTATTTGACTCTTATCCCTTTAATAATAATTTAATAAGAGTAAAATAGAGTACTAATTATCGCAAATTTGATTGGGATGGAGTTCGAACCTAAGACCTTTCTTATTGAAATTAATAAGTTAACGATGAACTAACAGAAGTTAACAGAAAATATAATATTTAACGAAAAAGTTAACGGATAATCATATTCATTAAGGATAAATTAGGAAATCTTAAGGAAAAATTAAAATCTGATCAATCTGAGCCATTCATTTGATTAAAAAATTTGACCGCCATTTTTTCTACCCATTATAGGTCTAACTCTCTTGGGCTCTTATTAGTATAGTAGATAGTAGAAATGAAAGTTGATTGTTCAATTATAAAAGAGTAAATACCCAAAATGGTCCCTCAACTATAGCTAAATTCACAAATTGGTCATCGACTTTCAATTTTAACCAATTAAGTCCTTAACTTTGCAATTTTAACACGATTTGGTCCTTCGAACACTTCTGCATTAACGCCCGCGCCCGCGCCGTCATAGACGATCTCCAGAAGAACCTGCAGCTCTCATCGGAGCACATGGGAGCCTCCAAGATGACGCTGCACCGGTTCGAAAACACGTTGTCTTCTTCACTCTGGTACGAACTCAACTACATTGAATCCAAAGGGAGGAAGAAGAAAGGCGACAGGATTTGGCAGATTGCTTTCGACGGTGGATCCAAATGTAACAGTGCGGTCTGAAATGCAACCGAAACCTTAAAAAATCGACGATGGACCATGAAATTACATATATATATCCTCAAAAATCACAGTCAACAAACGGTCAAATAGACAGAGGACCAAATCATGTTAAAATTGCAAAGTTAAGGACTTAATTGGTTAAAATTAAAAGTCAAAGACCAATTTGTGAATTTAGCAATAGTCGGGGGACCATTTTGAGTATTTACTCATTATAAAATGTCTTATAAGAAAGGGAAGATTGTATAGGAAAAATGTCGGTTGATGACTTTTTTTTTTTTTTTTTTTTTTGTGCAGAAGCCAAGGGAAGAAGACAAAAATATGTAGAATTAAAAAGGTGGATACTTTTCTCTAGAAAAAAAGGTGGATACTTTTATGTGCCTATAACTCAGCGGGGGTATTGGTCACTTTGTCCGATAGTAAAAATCTTGGGTATATAAAAAAAAAGGTGGATACTTTTATGTAAAGTACTAAAGAAATTACCTTTTTTATTGGTATTGTCTTCTTTTATGTATATATATACGGAGTATTTAATTAATTATAATTTTTATCTATTAATAAATAATTTATTTAAATATATATATTTTTTATTACAAAGGAAGGGAGATATACCTACATATACAACTTATGCCTACCTTCCACATAAGGGGAGGGACTGGGTTCATAATTACTTTCTCAACCAATGAAGCACAAAGAGCCAATATTGCCTCCATCGAGGCTCGAACCCACAACATTTCCTAAGAGGGAGCAACTTGGTGCCATTAGACTACAAGTCCTTGGCGCGTGCACACACACACACACACACACACACACACACACATATATATATATATATAACAGGTATTTTTGGTATTTGTAATATAAAAGTTATTTCTAAGAGCATGAGAATAGCTAATATCAAGGCCCCATAGGAATGACTATTCCTCTTGTAAAGAGAATAGCTCATTTCCAGGAATCTTATTTTCATGATAAAATGATCAAACTAAATAATAGTATAGATCTATTCCAAGAAAATGTTATTTCATTTCTAACTTATTCCATGAACCAAACATACCATTAAGGACTGTTTGGTTGCTTATATATTACATTATATTTTTGTAAAAAGAAAATGACTCCTTAACCAACGTATGTCGGTTTCGTTGCCCCGAAAGCTAATTTTGAAGGTCAAAACTCAAAAATATTTTTTTATTTATTTACTGCTCCTTTGCATAAAGTTTTTGTATAACTGTACACGTGTCGTTAAGGTAGGGTGACCCCTGTCTCCCTACCCATTAATCATATGTGTTGAGGGCTATCACTACTACTACAAGAGGCCCAATTAAAGGGCGCGATTCATAGGTGTCGTGTTGCTCGTGGGGCTATCACTACTACAAGAGGCCCAATTAAGGGGCGCGATTCATGCTTGGCAAATTATATTATGCACCGCGGTGCATAATCGATTATGCACCGCACGTCTTTTTTTTAAAATGAAAATTAACAGTGTTTATTTCCGTCGTTTCACACCCTTTTGCAAAAAGTAACTCTGTTATTCAGTGTCATTTTGTATACACTTCAGTTTCAGTTGAACACAACTACAGTTTCATTTCGATATAACTATAGTTTCATTCGATATTTATAGACTCAAATATGTGAAAATGTTATTTAATTTTATTTTATATACACTATAATTTTATTAAAACACAACTACATGATCATTTTGATATAATTACAGCTTCATTGTACAATATACACTCAAATATGTGAAATGTTATTCAGTTTCAGTTTATATACACTGCAGTTTCATTTCACTATAACTACAGTATCATTTTGATATAACTGCAGTGTCGGTTTGGATATACTGTAGTGTCAGTTGGTGTTTAATACACCAAACAAACGGACTCCGTTAACTCTAACGGCGGGCCGTTTTTTTACTTAAAGAAACGGCGCCGTATATGGGCCGCGGTGCATAATCGATTATGCACCGCGGTCTATAATATAACAACTGATTCATAGGTGTCGTGTGGCTCATGGAGTCGTGGGGCACTTCCAATTTCGCACCTTTTCTTTGCATATGACAGTCCCTTGTTCTTCAAATCCCATGCCCAGGAGGCCACAAAAGTGAAACGTTGTCTTAAGGCATATGGGAAACTATTAGGGAAGTTGGTCAATATGCACAAGTCTTTTGCATATCCTTTAGTCGAAACACTCATGCGGTGGATAGGGAAAACATGGCAAGCATTTTGGGAGTCGCACAGACTGAGGACTTGGACAAGTATTTGGGGCTACCATTGTTGAGTAATTGTGTTAAGCTAGCTAAGTCAATTAGTGTATGCTCTAATAATTTTACTAGTATTTTCACCTGTGCGTAGCACGGAATTAATTTGTTGTAATATATTAAAAATATTTGGGTTGTTATACAATTATTTAATATTTGAACAGAATTTTAACCCAGAATTATAGTACGAATGAGAAAGTAAAAAACAATATATTTTATTAGGAAGAGAGATTTTTTAGGAATTAGGCGGGAAGTTAAAGTTAAAGGATTTTGTTTTTATATATAGTATAGATTGTATTACACAATTTTATAATATTAGAATAGAATTTTAACCCAGAATTATAGTACAAATGAAAAGTAGAAACAATATATTTTATTAGGAAAAGAGATTTTTTAGGAATTGGGCGTGAAGTTAAAGTTCAGGATTTTGTTTTTATATATAGTATAGATAGTATAAATTGTATTACACAATTTTATAATATTAGAATAGAATTTTAACCCAGAATTATAATACGAATGAGAAAATAAAAAACAATATATTTTATCAAGAAGAGAGATTTTTTAGAAATTGGGCGGGAAGTTAAAGTTCAGTATTTTGTTTTTATATATAGTATAGATAGTATTACACAATTTTATAATATTATAATAGAATTTTAACCCAGAATTATAGTACGAATGAGAAAGTAGAAAACAATATATTTTATTAGGAAGAGAGATTTTTTAGGAATTGAGCGGGAAGTTAAAGTTCAGGATTTTGTTTTTATATATAGTATAGATAGATTGTATTACACAATTTTATAATATTTGAATAGAATTTTAACCCAGAATTATAGTGCGAATGAGAAAGTAGAAAATAATATATTTTATTAGGAAGAGAGATTTTTTAGGAATTGAGCGGGAAGTTAAAGTTCAGGATTTTGTTTTTATATATAGTATAGATAGATTGTATTACACAATTTTATAATATTTGAATAGAATTTTAACCCAGAATTATAGTGCGAATGAGAAAGTAGAAAATAATATATTTTATTAGGAAGAGAGATTTTTTAGGAATTAGGCGGAAAGTTAAAATTAAGGATTTTGTTTTTATACTAGTTTTTTACGGGCATTGCGCGATTGAGATAATGCCCAATGTTTTTTTTTAAATAAGTACTTTAAAGTATATCATGGCAAGATTATATTGGAATTGTTCATGCATAATAATTGAATGTTAAATTTGCGTATTTAAATAGACAATTCTAAGTTTACAAATGCAAGATAATATAGTTAAGATTGATTATAATTGTCAATAAAATAATTGTATAGGTATGGTTGAAACCAAATACGCGACATAAGGGAGAGCAAATAAAAATTAGGGCATAAAATATTAAATATATACTAATATTGAAGAGCTAACTGTTGATTGTCAAACAAGGACATTGCGAGATAGTTTCCCACTTTAATTTGTTGTGTGATTTGAATACTCTTTTTGTCAATAAATTCTCCAAGTAGTTAATATGATTGGCTTAATTATTTTTAAAACAATTATTATTATTATTATTATTATTATTATTATTAAATATATGTATACCCTTAGGTCATTTCACATGTTAATCTAAACAGCTAATTTTTTCAAATATCTTTTTACCAACCTTTGATATAATTCGCTGGTCAAATTCGCTAATATAATCCGCTAACTGCTGATTTTCAAACAAAGACATTGCGAGGTAATTCTCACTTCAATTTGTTGTGTGATTTGAATACTCTCTTTGTCAACAAATCCCTCAAGTAGTTAATATGAATGACTTTATTAATTATATTTTTTAAAATTTTTCATGGTATTAATAAAATATTTGGTAAATAAATATATAGCATTATTTTGTATTATAACTTTGATATTTAATTAAAAAATATTGCACAAAAAAAGATAATAGACAATGTAATGAATATAATCAATTGATGAATTTGAATGTAAATGATTTTTTACATTGGAGAAATATAAAGATAATATAAATAATAACATTATTTCTCTTAATAATTAATTTATTGATAATGAATAATTTTTTTTAATAAAGACAGTGTAGGGACAATGTAGCGAATATAATCAATTGATGAATTTGAATTGTAAAGAATTTTTATATTGGAGAAAAATAAATACAATATAACTAATGAAATTATTTCTCTTATTTAATTTATTGATAATGAATAATTTTTTTTTTAATAAAGACATTGTAGACACATAATTCGAAATTAAAGAAATGCATATGTATTTTTTTTTTTTGCTGTAGCTACTAAATTATTATTTAATTTAATAAGAGCAAAAAAGATTACTAATTATGCCAACTTTGATTGTGATGACGTTCGAACCTAAGACCTTATTGAAATCAATGAGTAAGTTAACGGTGAACTAACAGAAATTAACAGAAAAAATAATATTTAACAGAAAAGTTAACGGAAAATTTCCTAAAGAAAAAATTAAAATCTGATCAATCTTAGTCATTCATTTGATTAAATAATTTGACCGCCATTTTTTCTACCCATTATAGGCCTAACTCTCTTGGGCTCTTATTAGTATATATAGTAGATATAGTATAGATATAGATTCGGAGAATTGTTAAGACTAAATGTAACCAAATTGAAAGTGAGAACCTAAATGCCCGAATGTGACAATAATCTTAATTATAATAAAGCCATATGGTCTTGTGAAAATTAAATGTTGATATTAATGGTTAAATGTTGATATTAACAACATTTAATTTTCACAAGACCATATGGTATATATATATATATATATATATATATATATATATATATATATATATATATATATATATATATATAATTTATTTATTTACTTATTAATTTATGTTATTAATATTATTAATTATTATTATTATTATTTTTCTTTATTATTATTATTATTATTATTATTATTATTATTATTATTATTATTAGTGTTAGTGTTAGTGTTATTATTGTAATATATATGTGAATATGAATATGAATTGCAACTATGTTGATATTAGGTTAAGTATTTTTTAATAAATAATAATATTATAATTTTGTCCAATATTCATTCCGTGCATCGCATGGATAGCATACTAGGAGTAGACATACTCAAGATCAAATATGTATACCGCTAGATGCGATTAATAATAGTAACTTTTTGTATCACACTATTTTTAATTATTAAATGAAATATTCTAAATACAATATCATAATTATGTTGTCATATACTTAATAAAAATGTAATTTTAAACAATTAAATTGTGGTTCATGTTTTCTTCTTCTGTACTTCAAATACCATTATTAAAAATATTTTTTACCTATTCTAACATTACGAACAAATTTTTAATATTTAATCCGTGCATTGCATGGGACAATACTAGTGAGATTAAAAGTTGAATCTAATAATCTCATCATCATATCGTGCTAAAGTCTAATGCCTAAAGAGATGATTGGCCGGTAAAGAAAAATGCTTATAAGGCTGTCATTATCCCAGCCAAACCCCTCTTTGCAATCCTATGTGGCAAGGCCATGTCACTGTTTTCATTTTTTTTTTTAATTGAAAGGGATTTGCAAATTTGTAAGATTAGCAAATTTGCAAATCCCTTAAAAAGCTGCCGCGGCAGCTTTTGTACTTTTTTTTTTAAATTTTATTTATTTATTTTTTTCTTTACTTTTTAATATTTTAATATAATTAATAATATTATTTTAATATGTTGAGCCCACATTTGAAGGTTGATTGAGTTTGCAGGGATGTAGTGTGAATAATAGATAATTTGTAAATAGAATGATGTAGAAGTAGGACCCATTTTTTTAGAGTGAGAGATATTTGCAGGGATAAGGACAGCCTAAACGGCCTATCAACATTCAATCACTCAATTCAATAATACGGTGGCCGGTGGGAGACTGGGAGGGGCCTTAGAATTATCACGAAAAGGAATCATTTGGCATATAATGTACGGGATATTCCATCACAATATCCTTTATTTTTTAGAAAGCTTTATTTTATTCAAGACAAAATGAAATGAATGATACTTCCTCCGTTCTATTTTATATGTCTAATTCGGTTAACGAGTTTTGACTGAAATTATTTTTAATTCAAATTTTAATAAGATTAAATTTAATATTAATATATCCATATAAGTTGCGTGAAACCATCTCACGGTCCTTGCCTGTGAGACGGGACGGATAAAGATCAAATGCAATATTTATATTAGAAAATGTAATACTAATAAAGAATAAAATATTTATTACTTATAATGACAAGTGTAATATTTTTAGAAAAAGTATACCAAATAATACTCTTACATTTTGATTAAAAGTATTACGTTTTTTCTCAAAAGTATTATATTATATTTCTTTATAAGTGACAAACACTTGCCAACATTACTTATAAGGGAAAATGTGATACTTAATGAAAATTAAAACTGTAATACTTTTACATCAGAATTTAAACGTATTACATTTTTTTTCAAAAGTATTATATTTTTTTCTTACTTTAGTATATAAAATTTATCCTTTCCACCGTCAAATAAGGGTTCCTCGATCCATTCACAAAGTTAAGGATCGAACCATTGACCTTGACCTTTGATTAATGATGGATTAGTCCATTCCACGCAACCACACCCTCCAGGTTAAAATTTATATATTTTGAAACTACAAGACCAAAAATTTAAATTTAAAATAATTAAAAATACTTAAAAAAATAAAAAAAAAGTATAATTTGATCAATAAATAATAAAATATGTAAAATGGGGGAGATATATATATATATTTTTTAAAGTCAACGAAGGTAGCTTTAACAGTAGATAGAAGTATCCACAAGCAACACACTCACTCACTCAACCTACCACCAATGCCCAATGGGGAACTAGTTTAACTTCTCAGTGATCGTTATAAAGAGTTCCTCTCTGAGTTCTTCAAGCAATCGAGCAGTTCGACCCAAAAGAGATAATAGCGAAGATCTGCCCATGACTTCTCTCCCTGCACGGCTCATCCTCCCCCTCTTACTGTTATTTGGGTCCTTTTGCTCCACCCTTACCCGCGGCGGAGAAGATGCGGAAGCTCTGAAGCTGCAGAAAGATCAGAGAGAGTTCGATTTGTTCAAGCTCGCTCTCCAGTGGCCTGGCACCGAGTGTAAGGGTACTTCCAAGTGCTGTTCCACCAATGGCTGTTGCCGGTAATTTCCGTAGATATTTAGAAATCAAGTGGAATGTTTGTTACTTTAGTATTAGATTGGTTAAAGATGACACCTTTTTTCATTTTCTTGCTTTTTAATTAAACATTATCACTGTCGTGCAGCCCCAATGCGATTATTGGATTCACAATTCGTAAGTCATATAGTTTTTTGTTCGTTATATATCTTAATTTTATGTTATGTAGGAGGTGTTATTGTATAAGGTTCATTGCTTTGCAGATGGACTCTGGGCAGATTACGAAGATGGGACTTGGCCGTCCTGCTGTGAAGGTTCCCAATTTGATGAAAATGTGGTATGTATGTGCAAATCGCAATCTTGTTTGGTGTTAGTGTATACTTGTGGTACTGTTTAGTTAGCAAAGCTAGTTGTTTTTGTATGGAATTTCATGGTCTGACTGCCTTTTTGACCTGGTTTGGATGGTGTATTTGTTGCGGAAAAAATAGCATAAATTGTCATTTTAAGTGGTTTTTGGTACAAATATATGTGGGGTCCACTTCTTATTTAGGTCGGGTAAGAGTTGATTCGGCTTCTTCGAAGTGAGACAAAGAAATCAATATATTGTACACTCAAAACGAATAATGGGTTAATTAGAAATTGAGTTTAGAAGTAGACCCATTCGAGTTGGAAAATGAAGGTGGAAAGGTTTGGAAGAACCTTTGTTCCACATTGGAAATGGGAAGTGGGTTCCCACTAGTGTGGGACAAAGGTGGACTTGGAAGAAGCCTCTGCTTTCCTTCCTCCAAAAACTGTGTTTTACTAGTGTTCTTGTTCGCCAAATTTCTTGTTTGATTGCTCAAACTTTAAATTGGAAGTTCGTTTTATCTTAGGAAACCTAGGCTACAACGCTCCTAGGACCTAAAGAGGTAGTAAATAAGGTTTTAAGTGTGAGTGTCACATAGACTCAAACTTGTAAACCCGTGACCTTTCGTTTTTGTGCTTGTTTTTTTGGAACCGTAATATTCCAACATTTGTTATTGTTTTGTTTTTACTTTAGTTCTCAAGCCTGATACTTACCTATGTATGTCTATTGCTGTTCATTGATGTAGATATCACCTTTGCTTGATGTCTTGAACAAGTATTGGCCATCTTATAGATGCGGTTCCTCCAAAACGTGCCATAAGACCAAAGGATTGTTTTGGGCTCATGAGGTGTTCTGTCTTTCTGAACATTAGATTGCTTACTAGATGGTCTGATTATATGTTAAATGAAACTGACTTATTCTCTTTGCCTTCCCCTTATGGTTGCCTTGGGGAACATCCACACAGTGGGGTAATCATCTTTCTCTTGTTTTTACTTTATCTTGTCTGAGATCAATTATGAGAATGTCATATGAGTTACTAGTGCATGCATAACCTTTATTAAAGAAAACTCTGGTGCTTTTGGAATTTTATTTGTTTAACTTTGCTTCTTTTCGAATTTTGCAGAAAAACATGGAACATGTTCCTATCCAATTATTAAAAATGAATATGAATACTTTGTGAATGCTCTGGATCTTTACTTCAAATACAATGTTACTGTGAGTCAACCTTCATCTTTTTTCTTTCCTCCTTTCAATTTTTGCAATGCATTTTTTGTTAGAAACAAGTATTGCTATTGAAGCCTGCACGGGCTTAGACAGTGTTTGGGAGAAGAGACTAAGATCGAAACTCAGTTGCAGTAGTGTGGGGATTATGCCCAAAGTGGGCATATCTCTTGTGCACATCGGCTTGAGTACCGTGATTTATATCCTCCAAAATGCTCTGTCAAGCCAGGGTGTGGAGGACCCTTGGGGTTGGGGATTCAACATTTTGGGAGAATAAGTATTGCTATTGAAGCCCGCATGGGCTTAGGCAATATTTGGGAGAAGAGACCAAGGATCGAAACTCAGCAGAAACAGTATGGGGATTATGCCCAAAGTGGGCAGATCTCTTGTGCACATCGGCTTGAGCTACTGTGATTTACATTCTCCCAAATGCTCTGTCAGACCGGGGTGTGGGGGGCCCTTGGGGTTGAGGATTCAACCTTATGGGAGAAGTATTGCTATTGAATGCTTGGCTGCCAACTTACTTATTCAACATATAATAACAGGAGGTTTTGATTGGAGCTGGGTATGTACCATCAAACTCTGAAAAGTACCCACTTGAAGGCATCATTTCAGCCATTCAAAATGCTTTCCATATGACTCCAGAAGTAACATGCTCTAGTGGTTCCCTGGAGGAACTTCGGCTGTGTTTTGATAAGAATTTTGAGGTTAGGCCCTTATACATATTCACCCTTCAATGAACTGCTGATTGTCTGAATTCTCAAACATTTTTGACACCTACATTTTCTGTAGAAACTCTATTTCAGTCAAGAGTCCACTTATTTTTTGTTCATTGGCTAGGATGACTTCACCATTCAACATTTTGATGTTTGTCCAAGAAACCAGTTTTATAGCCAATTAATCAGTTTGTCAAAATGGCCTACATATAGCATAATTCACAAATAAGGAGGAAAGGATGTCTTGGTTACTGTTTATTCCATTTAGATCAGGTTTCTATATCCTTAGATTTGCCTATTAAAGGGGGAATCTCTAATTCTGGTTTCTCTTGCAGCCCCGTGATTGTGAAACAGAATCTAACACTGAAAGTGGCATAAACTCTTTGAAAAGCTCGTCATGCCCTTCAAATGTCAGCTTACCAATATATGATAAATCACAATGTAAGTCTTCATTTCTATGTATTTATGAATTTTTAGGTACATCTGGTGGGGCACTGCACAAAACTTTCCATATTATAAGTCATTATGCTGCATAGGAAATTGGGATTATATTTAATCCCAATTTTTGGCACATGGATCCAGGAGTCTCCTAGAGCCCTATGCCGCACAGGAAATTGGGATTATATTTAATCCCAATTTTTGGCACATGGGTCTAGGAGACATCAGACATATATATATATATATATGCATATATATGTCTCCTAGCTTAGACCTTGGCGGCACATATACTTCCTGCATATATTTCCAGCCGCTTAGGCGGCGCCTAGGCGGTCTAAGTGCTAGGCACCCCTCGGCTGTTCGAGGAGTGCCTACTGCCTTTTGCAACATTGGGTGGTGATAAGATGATGAGGTTCATGTTGAGCATATAATGTATAATAATAAATGTGCAGTTTAGCTATCAGTTTAGGCTTTTAATTGAAATGGAACACACCATTCAATTAAGTATCCGAGCCAACCCCATGTACAAAGTCATTGATTGGCTCACGCACAAATGTGTAGTCCAACTATTAGTTTAGACTTTTAGTCGAGACAGAACGCATCATTCAAGTGGCTAGGTGTACTACCCAGCTTTGCACCAAACACCCCAAACCCCTTTCCTCTCTTTTAATGACGGAGTCATGTTAGTTGTGTATTGCTTTGAGAATGACTGCTTTCAAAAACTAGTTAGCTTATTAGTTACCAGCTTTTCAGTTTTCATCTTTCAACTAGCTTTTCAGTTAGGCGTGCCAAAGAGAGCTTTACTGTGTTGCTTTGAATCTCATGTTTTCTTCCATTATCTTGGGTTCCAGGGCTTGAAAGCAATGAAGCTGTCATTTCTCAGTCCAGTGAACAGCCTATATTGATAGAGAGAGTCAGGGAGGCCTAATTTCAGTGTCTTCCCATTCTTGTATTGCAATTGTATGAGTTGCTCTTTGATCTGGATACATCAAATGATCATTGGAATGTGAACTCTTGTAAAAATGTCCTAAAATAATTATTAGGATCAAGGGTTCATGCAAAGTATTCTGCAGCCCCAATTCACAAAACTTGTATCATTATGTGTCATGCAAATAATTGTATTGTTGGAAACTTAATAAGTAATTAATGTTTGAGATGTACTGTCATAAAAGTTTAAATAATATTTGAGGTGTTGTGGTGTTATAAATATTGTTTTAAATTTAGTAAGAATTTATTTATTTAGAAAATAAAGAGCTGAAGATCCCAATTAAGCCAAAAACAAGCTAGGTTACATTTTGGATGGGAGCTAATTAATGAAAGGTCACTTGATTATAACGAAATTACTGATTTGGTCATTGACTAATTTTTTTTTAACAAATTAAGTCCCTCAACTTTAAAAATCTTAACCAATTTGATCATTCGTTAGCATACACATTGTGCTTATCGTCTTTTTGCTTCCTTGACCGTAGCTTGAGCCTTTGTACTACTTCAGATTTTGAATCTTTAAAAAATATTTACAAGGAAATTTGAACCTAAGCATTTCAACAAATCCAAGGTTTTCTACCATCCCGCCATTACTATTAGTTAACCATTATTTAAACAATGATTATCAACATATTTTCTCTGAGAATGCTTGTAGAACCAAAATTAATTTGGAAAATTAATTTTGTGCTTCCATAATTCACAAACATATAGTAGATCTTATACTTAGCTTGTTATTGGCTTGACTCTTTGCACTATGATGCTTATACTAAAATGAATGAAAAATACATTTAACTCATCAAAACTTAATTACAAAAATATTCCTATCAAAGCTTGGTTGGGCATTCACGCTGCATGCAAGTTAGGAGAAGTCCCCCCTCCAACTTAGCATAATTTAGAGTTGGTTCGTTTGGGTTGGCACTCAAGGGCTCGTAGGCTGCCTGCCTCGCCCACTGAGGGACAACCAAATATGGAGTTGGTTCGTTTGGGTTGGCACTTAGAGGCTCGTAGGTAGTCTACCTCGTCCTCTGAGGGACTTAGCAGAATTTGAAGTTAGTTCATTTGGTTTGGCACTTAAAGGCTCGTAGGTAGTCTGCCTCGCCCATTGAGGGACTTAGTAGCAGAATTTGGAGTTGGTTCATATAATCATATGGTTTGGCGCTCGGGGGCATGTAGGTAGTCAGCCTCGGTCGGAGAAGCACTTCAGATGTTTATAAGGATTCTCTAAACTCTTGGAGTTTGGGTAGACAATCTGGATTCCACTATAATGTTTCTTTTAAGTTGTTTTAAGGATTGGAATCAACATAATATAAGAGATTTTTGTGGCAAATAATGACATTTGTGCCGGTTTCTACCTGCAACAGAATGTTCTATTGACACATTTGACAGTAGAAGCTCTAAATAGAAGTACTCCATAGCAAACAAAGAATAAGATCAAGTAAATGGTAAAATAATGGAAAAAATTTGACTAAAGGAAACACTTTGAATTGACTTACGAACCTGAATAAAAGTTGCAGGGTTAGACGAAATATCCTGAAACCGGGTGATGCAATCTGTAACCTGCAGATACAAAGACATCTTAACTTTTTCACTTAACATTAGGTGGTTGATTGGCTGTTGTATTATCATGTTCTTGAAGTAGTTTTCCAATTAGATTTTAACTGTTATTAACATTGAAGAAGACTGAGGGAGTTTTTCGCAGCTTACTGCCTCCCAGTCATGAACGTGAATGGGGTCGTGATCAGGATCCAGACCCTGTCACGACCTCCTTCACGATCGTGATGAGTTCATGACTGGGAATCAGACCCGGTCACGACCTTTCCCACGTTCATGAGGAGGGTCCCGAAAGACTTCCAACTTTTTTTTTTATGCACAAATTCCCTTATGGTGCTCCACTCAAGTATGTTCCTGCACAAGGTTAGCTCAAGTACAAAACTAAAAAAATAACAAAACAAATGTAAAATCTAAAGAAAACGCATTTATTTATTTATTTATTTTCTTGGGTTGCCTCCCAAGAAGCGTCACGTTTTACGTCCTTGGCTATACGCAACTTTCCCTCATGTGTTGAAGCACACAAGGGTTGGGACCTTGCCATGCGTCCCATCTACTTTGGCTTTGAGATATGCCCCTTGATGCTGGGCATTCTCAAATTCACCATCAAGAACTGAATGCACCATTTCTTTCTAAATTAAAAGAGGGATCACATAAAGAATGAAGCTCACTCCCTCATGCACTCTCTTTCTCATCTCTTTTTCTCCTCCACCCTCATTATTTTTATCACTCAAATCACTTACAATAACAACCAAATTATTTTCAATTTTTTCTTTACCATCTACTTCTCCATTCTCCCTCTTTTATTTCTCACTCTTATTTTCAGCTCCTTCACCTTTCCCAATCTCATCTACATCATCTCCAACCATTCCACCCTCAACCTCCTTGACTATATCAACATTGTTGCCAAGAGTGACAACTTCACAAACTTTTATAGCACCCTTATCAACACACTCAACAAGCTCCTCATCCCCCCAATCAAAATCTTCATAATCATAGAATTCATCATAAGAATAAAAAGAGATATTATGACAATCACCAAAAGACCCCATAGAATCATTATCAGTTTATCACAAGTATCCAAGGAATCATCCTCTTAAACATCAAGATAATTATTAGCAAAAGCATCAAGAGATCATTACAAGAGTCAAGGGAGTCATCCTCATAAGAATCACAAGTATTATCAACACAAAATTTAGCACATGTATTTTCAATTGTAGTAACACAAGTAGGATCGAGAGTTTTACCATATGTTGAATCAATGGTGTCACCATTTGGCTTCTCATCTTCCCATAGTACCTCAATCTTCTCATTACTCTCATTTTCCTCAGTCACCCCTTATTGATTTTCCAACTCATGAGTTGGGATCTCTTGAAGCATGGGGGTGTCATCTAGCATGGGATCATTCTTGACCCTTTTTGATTCTAGGAGTGTTTTACCACTCCTTGAAGTGATAGTTTGGGTCTCAAATTGGATTCTTCTCGTGATTTCTCCCATCATCAATGCCAAGTTGTTTTCCATATTCTTCAAGGGTTGCAAGGTTTCATTTCGGTAGGTCGTGAATTTTTCTTCAATTTCTTTCATGATTGCAGCATTGAGATTGGCCGTTTCTTCCATGGCCTCATGTATAAACTCTTGCAACCTTCTTTCTAGGCATTCATATTCACCATTCACCAACCAAGTAGGGTAGTGGGTGAGTAACATGGGGTGATTCCTTCCAATTTGAATAATTGTGTGGCTCATAGGATTTTCTTTCATCAAAGTGCCATGGGGTGGGTGAGTGGGGTGTATTTTTGGGTGGATAAGTATGTTGGGATGTGTATGAATATGTAGCACGAACTTTTTCCAATTGGTATGGCGGTGGAGGTGGATAGTTATGTGGGAGTGGTGGGTAAGTATGTGTAAAGGGAGAGTAATGAGGGTGTTGTTCATAAGTGTGAGATAGAAGATGTCTCCATGATTCTCCTCTATGGGGTTGTTACCCATAAGGAGGTACATTCTCATTCTTTGATGAGCTTATTGGATATATTTTACAAGAAAAAAAAAATATTCCCGCACAAAGCTTCACCAAACCAGAACTTTGCAACTACAAGTAGTTGCTTGTGAGCAAATATATATGATATACAATGTGTGTGTGCTCACTTCCCAAGTCAACAACAAGTATCAAATATGTACAAAAATAAGAGAATAACAAAAGTAAATGCACAACAAAGATATCTTGTCAAAACACTTCCTTTGAAAGCAAGTAAAGGCACTTTATTTAACACTGTTTGCTATCGCCAGAAACAACGCCATTTTGACGGGATGTAGTTTAGTGTTGTGGAAAAGTGTAAACGAGGATGGAATCCCCGAGTTTCAATCTCACAAGGATGACAACTTGGAGTAAGCTAAGTGCAATGCTTTCAAGGGGAGTGTGTCAACAAGAGACAACTAGGTGGAGAGTACAACATTTGCAAGAATGTAAATGAAAAAATCAAAACAAGGAAGTAAAACAACAACATGAAAAGTAAAGCAGGGAGTTGGATTAAATCACTAGATCTTATACATGCATTTAGCTATAGTGGACTTGATGTAATTCAAATCATGGCTAACTTTTGGGAGCCGTTATGCATATACTAAGCCATTCCATGCTTAGACTCTTAGACCACACCTAAATGTGACTAAGGCATTTCAACAAACACCTTGCTTACGCCTTCTCCTGGGCCTTGCCCTCTCGGATCGAAGGACGAGGAATGCAAATATGTAAGACTCCGTGGAATTGCAATCTCTTGCCAATTCCACTCTCTCAAACTCCTCACTCATCTCTGCCGGTAATGAAGAAAGGATCCACATATAACATCATTCACAACAAAAGCATTCAAAGACATAATTACAATCATCTCATCTCATCAACATTGAAAGATCAATGCATAATCACTAAGGTTCATCGAATCCAACTCCTAGGTATTCTAGCTACAAATCATCATCATGAATTGAAACACAATTGTAGGAAATCAAGTCTAGCAATTATAGAAGATGAAATGGAGAAATCAAGATATGAAATTAAAGATGAAGAAGAATGATTACCAAACTTGAATCCACAATTGCAATATTCAATTACACGATGTTGGAGAGGAGATCTTCTACAATCAAGGAGAGTTGTCAAGTCTCATTTAAATCCATAAATATGGCTTCAGTGCTCCAGTCACGAGTGGCCCATGATAGTGGAGATTTCCGTGACACTTTCTGGTTCCCTGTCACGAGTTGATCCACGATTGTGACCGGGACATAGTCTGAATCTTCCTTTTTGGTCTTCATAAAAGTTGTAGCCCTTTAAGTTTCCGTTCCAATGTCACTTGAATCACCTCATTTGGACACCCCTAATTCAAGATATGCTCAAAATACCAAACTGTCCTGGAATACCCTGAAAATGATAATGTTTTCCTATATTCTACAAATGCAATTTCAATTAGTCCTTGTTCCTATCTTTTATCAAAATAAGCTATTCTAAACATGTAATAGGTGTTGCAAAAATAGCATTAAAATGGCATTTTAAGTAGCTATTTTGTGGTACAATTGTCAGTGGGGTCCACTTCCGATTTGGGTCGGGTCAAAGTGGATTCGGGTTCTTTGTAGTGAGACGAAGGGATTGATATATTGTACGCTCAAAACGGATAATGGGTGAATGAGATATTGATTCTCAAAGTAGGCCCATTTGAGTTGGAAAATGAAGGGGAAAAGTGAGCTTTGTCCCATATTGGTTTGGAAAGAGGATTTGCCCCCCTTATATACAAGGGCTCTTTTGAAGCTTGTAGAAATGTATAGCATAGAGGCTCTCTCGCGCAGGGGGGGGGGGGGGGGGCAAATCAAGATTCAACTAGACGAGATTGAAAAAGGCTTGATTCAAGCCCGAGCTCGTGTGTGCCTGCACCTGCGGGCACGAATGTCGTCCGAAAATTGGCTGGCCTTGCGGGCAAGTTATGCCAACTTTCGGTATCCTTTTCCAACACTAGTAGTCACTTGGGTTCGGCCAAAACCGAGATGAGCTCGGTCCAGGCCGAACCAAAACTTGTTTCGGCCAGTGAGGCCGAAACTGAACTAAAGTTTCGGCCTCTTAGGCCGATACTTGTTTCGGCCAGTGAGGCCGAAACTGAGCAGCAGTGTTTCGGCCTCGGGCCGAAACTTAGCCAGTCTGGGTTCGGCCTTGGGGCTGAACCACGGGTGAATGCCAACAGACAGAAGTGGGATTAAATTCTTAGATGTAATTTTTGAATTTAAACCCCAGGTAATGGCTTGCTGTTTCAGGAGTTTCAAAATTGGTTTTAACACCAAATTAAATGCCATGATGAATGCTATTCATTTTTTGATCCCTATATAAGAAGGGGTAGAGGGAGCAATTTTTCAAAGCACAAAGTAGCAGAACACACAACACGAAATTAAGTTTTTCAGCTTCAAAACACTTCCGCTTCTACTCCTTTCTTAAGTCTAACTATGTTCAAGGCTTTGCTCCGTTCGCCGGGTTTGTTCGTTTGGGTGCTCGAACGTCGAACCGTAGCGTGTTTTATCCTGGGAAACCTAGGCCACGGCGCTCCTAGTACTTTTGGGAGGTGGCAAATAAGGTTTTAAGGAAAGAGTGGTCTCTTGACTCACGCTAAAAACCCTTACCCAATCACGAGCCATCTTTCCTTCTTTCGGTTTTGGATTATGCTTCTAAGCAAAAATCCCCCTCTTCTTTTTTAGTTTGGTTGGAATTATATTCTGTGGATTATAAATTCCATTTGGTTGATATGTATATATCTTTTCTGTAGATATTCATGCATATAACCATGGTGGTCTGATATATATATATATATATATATATATATATATATATATATATATATATATATATATATATATATATATATATATATATATATATATATATATATATATATATATATATATATATATATATATATATATATTTCGGATATATATATCGAATAATATTTTATATACTTCGTGTGTGTATATATAAATATTATTTTACGATATTAAATCGATTATTGGTTCATTATCACCAACAATCTTAAAACCTTATTTTTTTTTTGATAATGAACAAATCGATGGATTCCAAAAGTGTTGGATCCGTGAATGTTGCCGGAGGTGCACATTCAAATGGTCAGAACGGCAACGATGTTGCACATTCTGTGATGCCGGTTGACGGCGGCAACGTTGGAAATTATATTTCCATGGGAGTTGCAAAAGCACACGATGGTGCTCCGGAGAACTTTGGTTCACGATCCGGTAGACCTATTGCTAATGGCACACAATTGGTACCTATTGTGTTGCCTAACGGATCGGCTAAAAGCCACGAAGGATCCTATGATGGTGTAATGACTACATGGTCGGAGGACTATGGTAGTGTTACCAATGATTTCAACCGTAATCGAAGGAAACTCAAGCGGAAGCTTAGCTTTCAAGAAGATTACGAGAAGAAGGAGAAATGCCACTATGAAGCGAATCGTCATCCTGGTGAAAAGGTTGAGGACAACTTCGCTATGTTTAAAACATGTGGATGGTTGGACGAGTGAGGTCACAACCGAGGTACCCCCGATGTGCGTAATGGACCACCCTTCATGGAGTGGACGGTTGGAAAATGGAACAAGGCACACGGGTTGAAGGATTACTACGAGATAAAAATAATAGAAATTAGTTTCCAATGTATTTTCCTATTTATTTTTTTTTGAATAAATGTTGTAGTATCCTTATAATATTTTTATTTGAATAAAAATATAATTGTTCCATTGAGTTGAATCTTAGTACATACGAATTATTTGCTAGAATAATGTCAAACGTATGAAATGATTCAATCTGGGTGCGTAGTGCATCACGGGACATTATGTGGAAAATGCTAAAATGGCTTAACGGCCATAACAAAATGTAACAAGCGTGTTACATGTTGAAATCCCGTAACGAACTTCGGTTCAGGTTCATGTAGAACGATACAGATTTCAAGCATCAATTTGTCAAAAAAAATGGAATAACTATATAATCGTGAGCGTCACAGCTCAAGTGTTGAATATTTTATATAATATTCTAAGAACGATTATATGAGTTTGATTCAACTAGTCGGAATTTTGGTTGATTTGATAATGTTAATTATGTTAAAATTAACTTGATCAAAAATCCAAATTATACTAGTATGAAATATAATTTGAGACAAATTGTTGGGACGTTAAAATTAAGCTTGAGCTTAACGAAAAATGCTAATTAAATTTAGCATTGTTGAAGTGCTAATTGGAGTGCTTAACAGTAGACCTGGCAATTATCGACACGACCCGTTAACACGACACGAAACCGGACACGAAAATAACGGGTTAGTGTTTAGTCTTAACATGTCCCGGGTTGTTAACGGGTTGACCCGTTATAGACCCGTTATGATTCGTGTCTTAACGGGTCAACCCGTTGAACCCGCTAAGAACCCGTTTAACCCGTTAATGTTATCGTGTTAACCCGTTTATACGAACCCATTTACACGAACCTGTTTATAACCCGCTAAGAACCATTCTTATAATGTTATTTTACTTATTAAGAATTAATATAAAAGGAAATTAAAAATTAAAACCCTAAAAGACTTAGAATTTGAAAAGTTCTGATGCTCTATTTTTATTTAGTTATTTTTATTCTATAAAAAATTTATTCACGTGAGGGATTTAGATGCTTTCACAATTCAGATTTTAGTCTTTAGGCTTTAATTTTTAAAGAATGCGTGAAGGTTGAAGCTTAAATTGTCAAACCATTACTCCAGAGTCCAGATCACCAAATACTTCTTGAAGGTTGAAGCTTAACAAATAATCTAATACTTTGATCGTCACTTACGGTAAGTTCATAATACTTGTGATCTTTTATGTTTAATTTCTTTGTGTATAATATTATAAAGTTGCCATCTGCATTTGCAAAATGTATTGTATATATTATATGTATGCGAACTATATTGTATATATTATTATGTCTGCATTTGCGAACTGTAATATATTTAGTACAAATAATATCATAACATTAATATGTAATAAATCTGCCTGCTACTGTGTATAAATGTATATTATATATTATAGATTTAAATATTGGGAGTTTTAGAATTTTACCAACTGCTACCGTATATAATTTATATTATATATTATAGATTTACATGTTTAGAGTTTTAGAATTTTACATGCTTTCTGCTACTGTTTATAAATTTATACTATATTTCACAGGTTAGGACAAATGGAAATTGGAGATACTACTAATATGAATGTTGAAATTGAAGATCGAGATGATTGTGTAGAAGTTGAAGAAGTTGGAGAAGAACAAAAAGATCCACAAAAGTCATTGAAACGCAAAAGGAAGTTGAGATCACAGAACCGATTTGAACGAGATTACAGAAGATATCATGAATATGATTGTGGAAGAATTTATTACATCAGGATGAATTATTGATGTTCAACAATATGTAATTTAAATTTTATTGTGTTTAATTTTGTTTTAAAATATTATTATGGACTTCTTTAATTGTGATTTTTGGATGTTATTTCATCATTTTATGAAAGTTATGAGTTGAATATTTTGTTAGTTTGTTTGATGTATTGAATTGTAGGTTCTATTTTTTTTAAATATATATATATATATATTGAATAATTGAATATGTTTAGTGAGTTTAAACGGGTTTCGTGTCAAATCGTGTTGACACGACTCGAAACCTATTAACAGAACGTGTCTATCGTGTCAACCCGTTTAACCCGTTTACAAATCGTGTTCGTGTTCGTGTTCAGAATTTTAACCCGTTAACCTTAACGTGTCGTGTCCGTGTTTAGTCTTATCGTGTTCGTGTCGTTATCGTGTTGACCCGTTAACGAACCCGTATACACGAATTGCCAGGTCTACTTAACAGCACTGGACATCCTAAAATGTCGAATTAGCACTATGCAAAAGGCTAATTAAATTTAGCATTGTAAAAGTGCTATGTGATTAGCACGAAAGGAGGTTTGGTTAATTGTGTAATTAACTAATAATCCTAGTGCCAAGTAGCACTGGAATTATAAATTAAGCAACTATGTGTTGCTGTGAGTTTATAATTTAAAGCAATAGAGATTGCTTTGGAATTGGTGCGTTAGTTGGGATCAATGATTCATGCTATGTATAGCATGTTTCGTGCTTCATTACTAAGCACTGATTCGTGCTTCAATTTCGGAAGCACTGATTCAGGTTTGTGGCCTTTCGGTCAAAACCGAATGGATTTGTAAAGGCTAATCTGTTAGCTTCAACGAAATGTGTTAACATGTAACACATGTTTATTCGTTATAAGAATAAAAGAGAATAACCAAATTAATCGTGGATAAATGCGGTTACGAACGATCATTGTAGTGAATATGGAACACCTATTGGTGAATCGGCGCAAGCGTTAGTATTGTACTCGAGAGTACGGTACGGTATTCACCTCAATCGAACGTTGTTGCCGAACATAAATATCAAGACGTTGATAAGTTCGGGTCTACCTCAAAGTATGTGGGGTGAGACAATACTTTGGACAAGTAAATACCTTTTAAATAAGGTTACCCACATGAAATTCTTACGAATTGTGGGTACGTAGGAAATTTTCCTACTAATGCCTGAAATGTGGGGGTGTCTTGTCAAATGTGTGTATTGGTTCTTAGTACACGAGTCCTATAGTTCGGATGTACGTAAGAACACAATAAATGGAATCAAGAAATTCATCGTTCTTTGAAGATGTATTTTTGTGAAGGTTCAATAAGGGACCTAGCACATTGAAATGAACTTTCGACGTAGCTATGGTTGAAGGGTATGAAAGAGAACCCGAGCTCAAAGCTAGACGTAGCAAGAGAGCTAGGATCGAATAATCATTTGGTCCAGATTTTCTGACGTACATGCTAGAATGTGACGCGCATATTCTAACTTGTTTACTAGAAAATAAATTGAATTTTCTGACATGGTTGTTAGAAAACGAACCTCGAACGTATGTAGAAGTGGTGACTTCTACAGATGGACCAACCCAAGAGAGGCTATCGAGAGTGAAGTAGATTCTATCTTAAAGAATCATACTTGGAATTGGTTGTTCTTCCTTCGGGTTGTAAAACCTCTAGATCCTAAACGGATCATCAGTCGGAAGATAAAACCGGTTGGTTATTTTGGAGTAAAATGGCCGGGCTTGTAATTGTAGATTACATGCAACGCGAGTGCCACGGTTACTTCGATATAAATATTCTCTTGTGATGAGAATGAAATCCATTAGGATGATACTTGCCAATAGCCGTTTGGCGAGACTTGGAAGTTTATCGAAATGGATGTATCGCTTTCTTAATAGACATGGAACAACCCGAGGGTTTTGTGGTTCCGCGCTATGGAAAGAAAGTGTGTAATTGGTGAGATCATTGTTTGGTTTGAAACAATTGCCTAGTATTTGGCATGTAGGTTTTGATCATACAATGATGTGTCACGAGTTTAGTATAAATGAAAGTGAAAAATGTGTCTATGTAATGGATACAATAGACGGTGATATCACTATTTGTTTATACACGATAAACTCATCGTGGGTAGTAACGATCGGTTGATCAAATCTACCCGGAACATGTTAAATTTGAGATTTGACATGAGATGTGTGGGTTTGGCAAATTTAATCTTCGGGATTAAAATTGTGAGAAGACCGTATGGTCTCGTGTTAAGCCAATCTCATTGTGTTGATTAAATCCTTGCAAAGGATGTTAATCAAGTGGCTCGGACACCGTTAGATACTAACGTACAACTAGCCAATAATCACGAAGATTGTACATCTCACGGAGAATACATTCAGATTACTTGGTAGTTTAACTGTATCTAATGGGTTGTACTAGGCTGGATATTGCCTTAGCGGTTAACGAACTCGGTAGAAATACGAGTAACCCTAGTGTTGCGCACGAGAAGGCAATAGCATGAGTTATGAGATACTTAAGGTATGCTCGTACTCTAGACTGCACTACGTGGGATATCTAGCTGTACTTGGAAAGTATAGAACGGATATCAAAGGATGCTAAGTCCATTAAAGGCTGCGTCTTTACGTAGGCCATCTGCAGTTGGTTGTATGGAAATTCTCGAAACAATTTGTGATAGCTAAGATCCATGACGGGATCAAAGCTGAGAGCCTTAGACTCGTGTCGCGAGCGAGTAGGCCGAATGACTATGCCATTATTTCGAGAATGTTCTTAGTGGTGAACTCGTACCTCCAATTTGTGTGCATTGCGATAGTCAAGACAAAATTGGTTAAGTACAGAGTTAGATGTGGAATGGTAAGTCTAGACTTATAAGTCGTAGATATAATACCATTAAACAATTTCTCACAACAGGGGTTATCTCTATTGACTACGTGATGTCAAAAGATAACGTAGCGGCCGCTAACTCGCTAACCCGAGGGTAAGCAAATGGTTGTGGAGAAGTTGGAACGAGGAATGGGTCTAAAGCCCTTGGACTAAAAGTTCTATATTGGATACCCAACCTAGCTGGCACCTAGGTTCAATGGGACAACTAAATTATGAAACGGAGCGTGTCACTGTGGGGGTCTCGGACTCCCTACCACTCCTCGTTAGAAACAGTGACTCCCGCACGAGGCTAGCACGTTGATGCTTTAATGATTCTTGAGTATACGGGATACTCGAGAAAGAATCACCTATGTAAGAGAGAAGTGAGGGTCGCTTCAAAGGAGAATTGTTGGGCACAGTTCTTTAGAAACTCTCGCAGAACCAGGAACGGTGACCCATGACCAAAATGGGCACACTCATGAGAACAGTGCATGGTTGGGAGGTTCCTGTGTGAGATATGTCATCGTCTACACAAACGGCAGTCGGTTCAAAGACATCGCGTTCTACCGTACAGCCAGTAGAGTAAACACATCTTCACAAGGGAAGGTTCAAAGGGTATAGTGACTCCCTACCTATCCTATGCAGAGATCGACCTTTTGAACACAGTTGTTTCCGATTTCAAAATACCGCGAAAATCAATTTTCATTCATTTGGGGGATTGTTGGAAAAATAGCATTAAAATGGCATTTTAAGTGGCTATTTTGTGGTATAATTATCAGTGGGGTCTACTTCTGATTTAGGTCGGGTCAAAGTGGATTTGGGTTCTTCGTAGTGAGACGAAGAGATTGATATATTGTACGCTCAAGACGGATAATGGGTGAATGAGATATTGATTCTCAAAGTAGACCCATTTGAGTTGGAAAATGAAGGAGAAAAGTGAGCTTTGTCCCACATTGGTTTGTAAAGAGGATTTTCCCCCCTTATATACAAGAGCTCTTTTGAAGCTTGTAGAATTGTATAGCATAGAGGCTCTCTCGCGCAGGGGGGGGGGGTGCAAATCAAATTCCAACTAGACGAGATTGAAAAAGGCTT